CCCCCCCCCCCCCCATCGCCTGTCTCCTGGAACTACATCGAGTTCCAAACACTGACAGATCTGAATAACTTCCCCCTAACCAGTGGGAAAGCACGTTGAAATTCCGCGAGGAATACTTTCTTTCCCAACCACCTTCCTCGGTTAATTTCTTCCTTTCGTACCTTTATCTCTTCCCTCCTTTCTCTATTAACACAATTAATTTATCTCTTTATCCTTCAGCAGAAACAGTTTCGAAAACAACGGTAGCACATTTGTAAAGACTTGAAGAATATTACGGTATGAGAATGGTATAACATAAGATGCTTAGTAAGATATCTATCTATCTATCTATCTATCTCTGTTGCTCCCACTTGGAGCATAGGGCATCCGTGAAACGCTTCGTTTCATTTCAGTTTCTTAATCTTATACACAGTCGGTAGGACTCCTTGGGCGGGAGATCAGCCCGACGCAAGGCAGCTACCTACACAGGACAACACAAATACTGAATAAATGTAAACAGACATACATGACTGGAGTGGGATTCGAACCTACGATCCCAGCGTTCGAGCGGCGAAGACATTCAATGGCTTAGACTGTGATCAGCGATAACAGACATACACAATAGTAACAAACAGTCTCCTACTTCATAGATGCTGACACCGGATATTCAGGTCTGTGGTTTGAAACCTTCTGATGGCATTCACAGTCATCTTCTCGTAGAGAGGTACTGAGATGGGCTGATACCACGAGGGGAATATCTAGAAATATTCAGTACTTCGGACTGAGCTGGTTAGTGTAAAGGTAAACGAGTTCCCGCTGCAACGAATGAGCAAGCAACAATAGAAGGATTATTGAGCTATAACGATGGAAATGGTATTCTCTGTTGGGTCCGTGCCGAGCTTATATAACTAGGTTCCCAGGCCAGTTGAATGAAGTAATAATTGAGGAATTCGAAAATGATTGTGAAGAGATGGCAAAAGTACGGTGTGAAGAAAAGATTTCACGTGTGCTGCAGTTACAGCGAGACTGGTATAATTTCTTTGTTACAATCCGTTACCAGAATACGACTAGTGAAAACTGAGAACACTAATATGTGTGTAACAGTGAATTTTAAAGCGTGTAGATCAGCGGGAACATCATGAGCTGAGTGCATAAGTGCAAATAAATCCAATCATCGAAACCATACCCCTTTATTAGCTACACGCCCACACACGTGACAATATTTCTGTTAGTGTTACATAAGACTGACCTCTGGTGAATCCTGTCTTCAGGCTCTCGTAAGCACCGTCATCTCCGTATCTCCTTGGAGTCCGTTCTCCGTTGTCATGGTTTCAGGGCCTCTCCTATAGTTGCTCACTGCTCCAGCATCCATGACAGTTTCCTCCTGGTCCCTGGTACTGAGACACTCCCCTCTTCGTAATGACTGACGATCATCTTGACCCCCACTGCAGTTACCTGCTGAAACACCGCCCACTGAGGTCCCAGCTCCTATGAGTTTCCTTCTCCTTTTGGACACACTTGACCTCAATGACCCCACTCTTTCCCTCACAGCTTCTACAGGAATACATGGGAACAATGACGCTAAAATTTCTTTGAATTCTTTACGAAAATTATCATTTAACCATCCATAAAGCAAAGGATTTGAACACGCTGAAGACATGCCCATCATATGACAAACTGCATACCATATCATCATGGATTGGCGATCTTCACCAAATGGATTCCAATAATCCACAACAAGATTAAATATATTTAAAGGTAACCAACTGATACAGAAAATTAAACTTATGGAGACGAGTAACGAATTAGTTCGTTTCATTCTTTTGTCACTTTTTGGTTTCCTTCTGTTCGTTGACGATGTGCAAGCTTTGTTCTTTGAAGACGATCCGACGGCTGAAGAATTCACGTAACGATACCTCAACTTGCGGCATATCCTGGAGTAAGCAACACTGACGGTTATGATTGGGAGAACGTACTGGACCACTAGGGAGAAGAGAGAGTAATACGCACGTCCGTGTTCAACAGGCCATTCTTCGAGACAATATGCTATATATTCAATCCCGATACTGGGAAGGTGAATATCGTGTTGTTTCAACGTTCGCCAAAAAAACATCGGACTTGCAAGAATGATTGCAGATACCCAGATGCAACTAAGGATTATAACAGCTCCAAGTTTCTGTAAGCTCTCTCTTGTTGGATAAACAATAACTTGATATCTGTCAAGAGCAATCGCTGTAATAGATATGGTTGATACAAATATGCTTGTAGCTTGTAAAGTACCTAGCATCTTGCACACGAATGGGTATCTCCCAAGTGGCCAATACTTTGTCAGGATTTCCATAAGTGTCAGTGGCATGGTTATGAGACAGAGGAGGAGATCTGACACGGCGAGGTTCACGATAAACATGTTTCTGGCTGTACGCATGGCAGGCTTTCTGGCAACTGCACATACCACGAGGCTGTTTCCAGCCGCACCAACAATTATCAAAACACTGTATACAAATATGAGTGCCGAGAAGGCGGGGTCTTCAACTACTCGATTGCGGGCGAATTCATTGAGAATTCCTTGGTCGATGGTAGCGTTCAGAACCCAGGACATGTTTCGGATGTAGGCAGTGATGTTGTGTTCTAGCTGCCAGGTAGGTGAGTCGCCGCTGGATGCCTCTCGTGGACGCAGAATTCTCTGAGGTACGGCCGTCAACGAGTTGTTGATGTTCCACCACTCCATTCTGACTCGGAACTCCTCAGCGTCTGTGGAAGAAACAAAGGTCGTTAGACGCACTATAAGAGCAACGCTCGACTTGTGAATATGAATCTTATGTTACGACCGTCGGTCAGTCGATAATAAAGCACCCATCTGGGGTTTACGACCAGATTTTTGTTACTGTAAGACAGGTGCGGGTTTGTTGATGTGGGGCGTTCTCTATTACGAAAGGATGTGTCTGACGTTTGTAATTGCTGCTGGCCCTCATCAGCGTAGTCATTCTCGGGTCCAAGTACCGTGGGTTTCGTGACCATATTTTACTGTCTCAGACTCGAGACTTTCATTTTCGTCGCCTCTTACTACTCGCAGGGCTACGGTGGAGGTATTCGACCCTGCCTCTACACGAGATGTCAACTTATGGCTATTTAACAACGCTTTTACAAAATAAATCCATTGTGAATTATCATTCTTGAGAAGCAAATAAAATGTAAATTTGTCCCTGGGTTTAATTAAGCGTCACAATATGGAAGAGACGCGAATTCTAACAGGAGTAAGGGATTTTTGGCAACTTTCCTTAGCTTAAAAAAATAAGCTTATGAAATGACCATTCTTAGTGTCTGTGTAGATTCCCCATCATCGTCTGAATGCCTGAGTCGAGCTCTATGTAACCTGGCACATGAATCCAGCTCAAAAGCGTGCTTCATAAATCCCTCCATCAGTCTGTGCCTGTGAGTGGTTGTTGGTCAACTGCTAGGTAAACACGTTCCCGCGGCAATGAATATATGGAACAATAGCGCAATTGTTAGACCCGTTGTTTTCCATGCGGTACGTGTCGTATCAAAGGAAAAAAGGCGATTAGTTCTTCCCAGATTTTTTTTTTATTTCTCTTCTTCTCAGCGGCCATATTGTCCATAAAGGTTAAGGAGAGACGGGGCGAAAAGCCGAAGTTTCGCCCCATCCAGTGCTGAGGTTAGGAATGAATTCATTACACATACGTCTTAACGGTGTGGTGCTTAACTAAGCAAACGGAGAAACTTTGCATTTTAGCAATAGATTTGAACGTTCTCAAGGCAATTAATATGAAGAATACCATATTGAAAAATGTGACACCATATAGTCTAGCAGAAATTCACCAACGTTTCGTAGGAGTGTACTGTCTCCATCTTCAGAATCAAAGAATAAGTCAAAAAAAGCAAAGTGCCTGAATAGAAAGCAGGGGCGCTTTCCAATAAACCATGAGGAATGGCGCTGCTTCGTTCCCGACGAGACCACTGGAATTTTCAATTGAGCTAATCCTTCCAGCTGCACTATGGCCCTGGTCTCAACTCAGCCTCTAACAGAAATGAGTACCAAGAAACTTCCTGGGGAGGGGGGGGGTAAAGGGCGAAAGGAGCATAAGGCTGACAACCTCACCGCCATCTGTGAGCTGACTGTCTAGAAAATGTAGCAGCCTCGACGTCTCACAACCCTATGGACCTCCACAACCTGCTACAGGAATAGATTTTCTTTCATTAGCTCTACAAGCCCCTTGGGTCCTGGTCTATGCTTTTCATTTCCATGATCATTTTACAGAACATAGGACTCCTTGGGCGAGTAATCAGCTCGTCGCAAGGCCTCTACCGAAGCACAGGACAACACAAACACAGAATAAACACATACACTAAACATCCATGCCTTGTGTAGGATCCGAACCCACGATCCCGGCTTCTGAGCAAGCGAAGACAGTACATGCCTTAGACCGCTACGCTACCGTGAGCGGCCGTGTATAAGAATAATATATAAGAATTCAGTACGTACCTCACAGGAAACAGATCCGAACCCACGATCCCGGTTTCCGAGCGAGCGAAGACAGTACATGCCTTAGACAGCGCGGCTACTGTGACCGGCAGTGTATAAGAATAATATATAAGAATTCAGTCCGTACCTCACAGGAAACAGATCCGAACCCACGATCCCGGTTTCCAAGCGAGCGAAGACAGTTCATGCCTTAGACCGCTCGGCTTCCGTGACCGGCAGTGTATAAGAATAATATATAAGAATTCAGTTCGTACCTCACAGGAAACAGATCCGAACCCACGATCCCGGTTTCCAAGCGAGCGAAGACAGTACATGCCTTAGACCGCTCGGCTACCGTGACCGGCAGTGTATAAGAATAATATATAAGAATTCAGTTCGTACCTCACAGGAAACAGATCCGAACCCACGATCCCGGTTTCCAAGCGAGCGAAGACAGTACATGCCTTAGACCGCTCGGCTACCGTGACCGGCAGTGTATAAGAATAATATATAAGAATTCAGTTCGTACCTCACAGGAAACAGATCCGAACCCACGATCCCGGCTTCCGAGCGAGCGAAGACAGTACATGCCTTAGACCGCTCGGCTACCGTGGCCGGCAGTGTATAAGAATAATATATAAGAATTCAGTCCGTACCTCACAGGAAACAGATCCGAACCCACGATCTCGGCTTCAGAGCGAGCGAAGACAGTACATGCCTTAGACCGCTCGGCTACCGTGACCGGCAGTGTATAAGAATAATATATAAGAATTCAGTTAGTACCTCACAGGAAACAGATCCGAACCCACGATCCCGGCTTCCGAGCGAGCGAAGACAGTACATGCCTCAGACCGCTCGGCTACCGTGATCCGTACAGGAATAGCTCAGCCTTTTTTTTTTACTTGCAAGTTCAATGACCCGTATGTTATTTAACCTTGTTGGTTCCATGCGCAAGGATTACATTACACTGTGTGTTATTCTCCAGACTACATTTCGTTATAACGAACTCCATGGAGACGGTGTCTGCGAAAGAGGTCAAGACCCGCTCATAGCGCCAAGGAAGTTCCCTGCGTTTTATGGAAACCGAGAGTTCATTAACAGCTTCAAAAGAATCAGATTCTGGTCCTTGCACAGGGCAATTCTTTTGCTGCATAATTTATTTCCAATATCTTGCTAGATACGGAAGAGTTCAAAGGAAATCATTGTCATGATTTCTGAGTTACTGTTTTCTGTCAACATCAACAAATATAATAGTTTATTTCAATGTCTGATGCGAGCCCACACCATTACGCAGGAACGTAAGGGGAGCATACATAAACCTCCATGCACTAGATAACACTATACTGCAACATGTTGACCCTCTACTAAGTAATGACTCTGTAAACGACGGTCGTTAGTAGGTAATGGCCATGAACAGTAACAGATGAATCGTGTTCTCTATGCGGTCCGAGAGATAGCCATATGCTGCAACAATAGAAAAGCTGTTAGAGGTGTTATCTGTGAGGTCTGTGCCTAAACTGTATAAGGAATAGATTTGCGTTGTCAGCTCGGCAGACCCTAACTCATGTGGAGGAGGGGTCGAATACCTCTACACGTGACCCTGCGAGTCGTAAGAAGCGACGAAAAGAGTAGTCTCAAATTTGAGACAGTAGAATATGGTCGCGAGCCCAAAGGGACTTGGACCCGTGAAAGACTGCGCTGGCAAGGGCCAGCAGCATATACAAAAGACAGACCAGACCTGTCCTCTCGTGAGAGTGGACGCCCCACAAAAACAAGGCCGTAACTATGAAATACGTAGGTTAGTCAATAAGTAAGTTATAAATGGACATACAACTTAAACAAATAAGAGTACTGATTTGAAAAATGCTTTTATTTCTCAACATAATCTCCCTGTACATTGAGGCACTTGTCCCATCCTTTCACAAGCCCCTGTAAACCAGCAGCATAAAATTCTTTGGGCTGTTGTCGGAACATGGCCTACCTCATAATGCATGAAAGGTTAGGTTTTCACAGAGTCTGTGCACGATGGGTGCCGTGCATGCTGACCCCACAACACAAAATGCAAAGAATGGGTCTGGCATTACAGCATCTCAATCGCTACCACGATGAAGGACACGATATGCTAGCTCGAACTGTCACAGGTGATGAGTCTTGCGTTCACCATTACCAGCCCGAGACAAAGCGTGCATCAATGCAGTGGAAACATCCTACATCGCCTTGAGGCTGGAATGCGGTGAGCAGTATGCCTTCGTGATCCCAGAAGACTGTGAGCATCACTTTCCTGGAGGATGGTGTCACCTTAAACTTCTTTTGGCAGGTGATGCAGGATGTTTCCAGTGCATTCACGCACGCTTTGTATCGGGCTGGTCATGGTGAACCCAACACTCATCACCTGTGACAATTCGGGCTGGTGTATCGTGTCCTTCATCATGGTAGCGATTGAGATGCTGTAATGCCAGACCCATTCTTTGCATTTTGTGTTGTGGGGTCAACATGCGCGGCACCCATCGTGCACAGGTTTGTGAAAACCTAGCCTGTCATGCATTATGAGGTAGGCCATGCCGTGTGAACACGTCTGGTTCCGACATCAGCCCAAAGAATTTTATGCTGCTGGTTTTCAGGGGCTTGTGAAATGATGGGACAAGTGCCTCAATGTACAGGGAGATTATGTTGAGAAATAAAAGCATTTTTCAAATCAGTACTCTTATTTGTTTAAGTTCTATGTCCATTTGTAACTAACTTATTGACCTTTTTTTATTGCTAGTGGGGTGGGACTAAGTGCCTTGTACTGCGGCCACTTCTGGTATTTATTGATTTACCCTCATAGTAATAAATATCTGGTCAGATGGGGCTCGACACCAAAACTTACTCACCGATTGACCGTCAGTCGCAATGTGACTTTGACTTCGACTTGTCAGCTCAGCAGATGGAAGTCAGATCAGCTCGGGAGCTGCATTGAGGTAGGCGACAGCCAGAGTGGACGTGAAGCTGTGAACCCGTAATTTGAGAGATTTACTGTGTTAGAGGCAGTTACCAGGCGACAACCGGGGAAGATATAGCAGACTGAGAAGACTTAGTGAGCGTTGCAATGAATTTTGGAGTGTGCGAATTAGCTATAGCACTGCAGTTATTTGTCGTTACGATCTGTAAGAGTGCAATCAATCCAATTACCAACCCAAACCCCGTGTCTAGTCAGTCATACAAGTGACAATATTGAAATATTCAGTGTCATGGTCCAGTTGCTTTATCCGTGGTATCGATCAGACAGGAG